CCCACGGCGGCCCCACGGTGGCCTCATGGTGGCCCCACGGCGGCCCCACGGTGGCCCCATGGTGGCCCCATGGTGGTCCCATGGTGGCCCCATGGTGGCCCCACGGCGGCCCCACGGTGGCCCCACGGCGGCCCCACGGTGGCCTCACAGTGGCCCCATGGTGGCCCCACGGCGGCCCCACGGTGGCCCCATGGCGGTCCCACGGCGGCCCCACGGTGGCCCCACGGAGGCCCCATGGCGGCCCCATGGTGGCCCCACGGTGGCCCCATGGTGGCCCCACGGCGGCCCCACGGTGTCCCCATGGCGGCCCCATGGCGGCCCCACGGCGGCCCCATGGTGGCCCCATGGTGGTCCCACGGCGGCCCCACGGTGGCCTCATGGTGACCCCACGGCGGCCCCACGGTGGCCCCACGGTGGCCTCATGGTGGCCCCATGGTGGCCCCACGGCGGCCCCACGGTGGCCCCATGGTGGTCCCATGTTGGTCCCATGGTGGTCCCATGGCGGCCCCATGGTGGCCCCACGGCGGCCCCACGGTGGTCCCATGGTGGTCCCATGGTGGCCCCACGGTGGCCCCACGGTGGCCCCATGGTGGTCCCATGGTGGCCCCATGGTGGTCCCATGGCGGCCTCATGGTGGTCCCATGGTGGCCCCATGGCGGCCCCACGGCGGCCCCACGGTGGCCCCATGGTGGTCCCATGGCGGCCCCGTGGCTGCAGGTCGCTGCATTTTCTCTCCACTGACTTCACGCTGATCTCTCTCAGACTCTCTGGTTCCCTTCAAGTCCGCCGAAGCTCCTCTGAGGCGTTCGGGTCGTCTCTTTGGCGGTCTGATCCAGGATGTGACCCGGCGGTATCCTCAGTACCTCAGCGACATCCAGGACGCTCTGAACCCACAGTGCATGGCGGCCGTCATCTTCATCTACTTCGCCGCCTTGTCTCCGGCCATCACCTTCGGCGGACTGCTTGGTGAGTGAGACCCTCGGCAGGGATGGAAGAGAACCATCAGGACGACCTTTAACCTCTGTCCTGTGATCCAGGCGAGAAGACCGAGGGTCTGATCGGCGTGTCCGAGTTGATCGTTGCCACGGCGATGCAGGGCATCGTGTTCAGCATACTGGGAGCTCAGCCTCTGCTGGTGATCGGCTTCTCTGGCCCCCTGCTGGTGTTTGAGGAAGCTTTCTACACGGTGAGCTGGCAGGAAGTGACGCTGACTGGTGCAAACTGGGAATCCAGGCAAAAAAGCTGCAAACAGAAATACAACATTAGATAAAGACTGCATACTCTGAAACTGTCCAACACGTCTGTTAAAAGAACAAACTGTTTCCAAAACCTGACAGTAAAACTGTAAATAGCAGCAGGAAGGATCTTCTGTCACGCTCCTCCATGCACCGAAGACGCAGCAGCTTGTCAGAAAGCATGTTTATTTTCAAACTACTGCAATGCATTCTGGGTACAGAATAAACTATTGCACCGTATAATGGGTGCAGAATGAGACAAAACATGTCTGCTTTGTAAGCAGCCCTCATCCCCTTCAAAATAAGAGCATGACTATAAATGTTTAACTACTTGAAGAAGTCCTAAAAGTTGAGAACCAAATCTAACCAAACCGACGTCAAACTTTATTCAACCCAAAGTTTACAACACAGCAAGTAAATTATCTGCAGAAAATGGTTAATTGGAAGCTAAATGTGCAAAATGTTTTCAAAGTTAGCCGAATGTTAAAGAGCTAAGCTAAAAACTAAGTCTGCCCAGCACTGAGATCCAGCCTCAGCTTTTATTCTGGGTTTAGTTACTGGGACAGATTAAAGGGAACCACTTTTTAAAAATCTGAACCAATTCAAATCCAGTAGTTTGATGTTTATTTGTACGAGGTGAGGGATCGTTCCCTCCGTGAAACCGGGCCGCTCTGCGTTTCTCTGCAGTTCTGCAAAGACAATGAAATCGAGTACCTGACGGGCCGGGTCTGGATCGGGTTCTGGCTGGTCCTGATCGTCTTCATCACTGTGGCCTTGGAGGGAAGCATCCTGGTTCGGTTCGTTTCTCGATTCACTCAGGAGATCTTCTCCTTTCTCATCTCCCTCATCTTCATCTACGAGACCTTCGCCAAGCTGGTCAAGGTCGGTGCCGGCGCCTGCAGAAGCGTCCAGCGGCGATGCGGCTGCGCTCCACTCCTCCTCTCTTCTCTCTCAGATCTTTAAGGAGTACCCGCTCCAGAGCTGCTTCCACGGAAACAACAGCGGCTCTCCGCCTCTGGGCAACGTGTCGGTGACGGCCGGGCGTCCCGGGGGAACCGCCGCGGAGCCCAACACGGCGCTGCTCTCTCTGGTCCTCATGGCGGGAACCTACTTCATCGCCTTCTACCTGCGGAAGTTCAAGAACAGTTCCTTCTTCCCGGGACGGGTCAGTACCGACCAGAGCAGAGGGACGGGTCCGGTACGCCCCCGGCCCAGACCCAAAGAACCTGCTGCAGCCTCACAATCTGATTATCAGGGTTCAGAGGTCAAAGGTTAAAGTCCTCAACCAGACACAGATGGTTCAGAGTCTCCCAGGATTCTCAGCAACTGGTCCACTGTCAAAGACTTGGACGTTTACTGAGACCATCTGAAGGAGTCCAGTTTTTTAAAGCTTAGACCGGTTTGGACCAGTAGAACCAGAACTGACCCGGGAGGTCTAAAACCACGTTCCTTGTGTTTCAGATCCGTCGAATCATTGGAGACTTTGGGGTCCCCATCGCCATCCTCATCATGGTTCTGGTGGACTACAGTGTGGAAGACACCTACACCCAGGTGAGGGTGCAGCTTGTTTGAATCCCACATCCTGCTGACCCCACGGTGAACCGCTCTGCTGCCGTCCGTCTCCAGAAACTCAACGTTCCCAGCGGATTCTCAGTGTCCAGTCCGGAGAAGCGTGGCTGGCTGATTTCTCCCATGGGTTCTGATGGTCAGTTTCCAGTTTGGATGATGGGAGCCAGCATCCTGCCGGCCATCCTGGTCTTCATCCTCATCTTCATGGAGTCACAGATCACAGCGTAAAGAACTTACTGCTCGTCAGGGAGCCGTTGCTCCTGCTAGGCTAGCATGTTAGCTTTAGTTATATTTACCCAGAATGCCCTGCGCTGTAGTTCACTTCCTGCTTTTGAAACGGTCTCTAGTCCTCTTCAATTCAACTGAACCCAGACCGAGGTTTGGAGGACCAGAGGTCAGAGGTCAGTTAGGGTTCACACCTCACTAACCGGACCGGATTTTAAAAGCAAATGGACTGGAGTCGGATTGAAGCGAAGTGAACGGGGCTGATGGGAATGGATCCTTAATATTCAGCAGAAGTGGACTCTTGGCGTGTGGTTTTGGTCCAGATTGGGTCCCACTGGTCCAGATTGGGTCCCACTGGTCCAGATTGGGTCCCACTGGTCCAGATTGGGTCCCACTGGACCAGATGGGGTCCCACTGGTCCAGATTGGGTCCCGCTGGTCCAGATTGGGTCCCACTGGTCCAGATTGGGTCCCTCTGGTCCAGATGGGGTCCCACTGGTCCAGAAGGGGTCCCACTGGTCCAGATTGGGTCCCTCTGGTCCAGATTGGGTCCCACTGGTCCAGATTGGGTCCCTCTGGTCCAGATGGGGTCCCACTGGTCCAGAAGGGGTCCCACTGGTCCAGATTGGGTCCCACTGGTCCAGATTGGGTCCCACTGGACCAGATGGGGTCCCACTGGTCCAGATTGGGTCCCTCTGGTCCAGATTGGGTCCCACTGGTCCAGATGGGGTCCCACTGGTCCAGATTGGGTCCTGGTGGGAGGGGAGCTCACTGACCTCCTCTCTGTCTTGCAGGCTGATTGTCAGTAAGAAGGAGAGGATGCTGGTGAAAGGAACCGGGTTTCACCTGGACCTGTTAATCATTGTGGTGGTGGGCGGAGTCTCGGCCCTGTTCGGTCTGCCGTGGCTCTCCGCCGCCACGGTCCGCTCCGTCACCCATACCAACGCCCTGACCGTCATGAGCAAGGCCGTGGAGCCCGGAGACAAGCCGCGCATCCAGGAGGTGAAGGAGCAGAGGGTGACGGGCTTCTTGGTGGCGGTTCTAGTGGGTAAGGCGGCGTCTCGGTACCAGCACCAGGGTCGCCTCCGGGCTGCTGGGTTCTGAACGGGTCTGCTCTGTCAGGTCTGTCCATCGTTATCGGAGAGGTTCTGCGCCAGATCCCCCTGGCGGTTCTGTTTGGGATATTCCTCTACATGGGTGTGATGTCACTGAACGGGATCCAGCTGACGGAGCGTCTCATCCTGCTGCTGATGCCTCCCAAGTACCATCCGGACCAGAACTACGTCCGGAAGGTAAGGCCCGGTTCCGGTCTCCGCCGACCTGATCCCGCTCCCTGCTGACCCGGGGTCCCCGGTCCCGTCCCAGGTGAGGACGCTGCGGATGCACCTGTTCACGCTGGTCCAGCTGACGTGCCTGTCGCTGCTGTGGGTTGTCATGGCGACGGCGGCGGCGCTGGCGTTCCCCTTCATGCTGCTGCTGACCATCCCTCTGAGGATGCTGCTGCTGCCGCGCCTCTTCAGCGCCAGAGAGCTGCTGAGTGTGAGTCAGTGAGGTCACCGTGAGGTCACCGTGAGGTCACCGTGAGGTCACACAAACATCACTGTCATCCTTAACACAGACTGGACCTCTGACCTCTGACCTCTGACCTGCAGCTGGATGCTGACGATGCAGAGCCCCACCTAGAGGAGAAGGAGGGGCAGGACGAGTACTCGGACCTTCAGATGCCCATCTGACCCGATCGGACCAGAACCGGACCAGTTGCACCTCTGAACAGCTGCTTTTCAACATGATGTGATTTCACCGAAATATTTCTCTGTAACAATCAGAACCAGAACCAGAACCTGCTGCTCTCAGTAAAAACTCCTCAATAAACAGATCTGTCTTTATTTCTGCCTCTTATCCTCCAGTTTGGACCGGTTCGGGTCAGAACCCGAGTCCGGTTCGGGTCAGAACCTGGGTCCAGGTTGGTCCGGTTTGGGTCAGAACCTGGGTCCAGTTTGGACCGGTTCGGGTCAGAACCTGGGTCCAGGTTGGTCCGGTTTGGGTCAGAACCTGGGTCCAGTTTGGACCGGTTCGGGTCAGAACCCGAGTCCGGTTCGGGTCAGAACCTGGGTCCAGGTTGGTCCGGTTTGGGTCAGAACCTGGGTCCAGTTTGGACCGGTTCGGGTCAGAACCCGGGTCCGGTCCGGGTCCAGGTCCATATACTTTATGAAAGCACTGAATGGGTTCAGAACCGGGTCCAATCGGGTCAGCTCCCGTCTCTGTTTGTGACTCAGGTCTTCTGATCCAATCAGCTGCCAGCTCCTGGGCTCAGACCCCGCCCCCTGGCTGCAGGCTGTGGTGGAGCGATCTGATTGGCTCTGGCTCCTCTGGCCAATCAGCTGTCAGGATGTTCCTGCCAATGTCTGGCCTGTCTCACCTGGTTGCCGTGGTAACGCCCTCTTCAAGAAACCCGAGCAGCGCGGCGCCGGGCCGACACCCGAGCCGCTCTGAATGTTTGATGCGTTCCGACAGAGATCCTGGAACACCTGAGCAGAACGCCGCCGCCGCCGCCAGAGGAGCAGCGCCGCAACGCCGCAGGTAACCTGGAGACACCTGGAGACACCTGGCAGCTTCTGGTTCTGGTTCTGCTGGGTTCTCAGACTCACCTGATCAGCTCCATCTTGGTTCTGCTGGTATTCCCAACCAGTGACCCAACAGGTTCTGGTTCTGGATCGCCCATGGGGATCTGATGCTGGCTTCTTCTTCTGGACCTTCAGGTCCGGTTCTAACTTCTGTCGTTCTGGATCCAGAGGTTTCTGCTCCGGTTCTGCTGACCGGCCCTGTCCCGTTAGATCGGACCTGCAGGAACCATCGGAGCGGAAATCAGGCCAGCTGGGTTTGCTGCCTGGAGCAGAAAGTTCTCTTGTGACCCACGGGTCGCTCAGAGTCCGGTTCCCTCCAGATGGTTCCCTCCAGATGGTTCCCTCCAGATGGTTCCCTCCGTTCTCTGAGCAGGAAGTCTGAAATCTGAAAGGAGCCAATAGAAACGATCCAGCCAGCCAAGGGGCGGGGCTGAAGCCAATGGGAAATCAGGACCAGAACCAGAACCTGGATCTTTACCTGGATCTTTTATCCAATCAGATTGTTTCGCTCATGGATCAGACTGATGTGATTGGCTGCTGGTGTTGCTGAGCTGCTCTGTGGCGACCCCTGCTGGATCTGCAGAATAATGTCTAGATAAAAATCTTTGTTTTTTTATTTTTATGATTTTATTTGTTCTGTCAGATAAACTTCAGATTTAGTTTCTCCACTCAGAATGTTAAATTAATTATGAATCAGTTAAATGATCGCGTCTGTTTCCGACCAGCTGCTTACTGATTGGTCCCCTCTGGCCCCGCCCACAATTTATGAACTCTGAGGCTCAGCTTGTCAAAAGTTATGGATTCTGCTAAATAATTCAGTTATGTGAGTGAGCTCAGACTGGAGGGAGCCTCACTGAGCATGCTCAGTAGCGGCAGATACGATGTGGGCGTGGTCTGGTGGCTCTGACTGGAAATGGGAAAAGGTGTGACATCACCTGCTGGTCTCAGCTGGGCGGAGCCACAGTGATGTCACAGCGATTTACATCAAGGTGTGACGTCACTTCCCTCCAGGTGATGAACCAGGATGTCAGACGGGAAGCAGCGCAGTTTGTCCACTTCCGGAGAGTCTCTGTACCAGATCCTCGGCCTGGAGAAAGGCTGCAGCCATGACGACATCAAGAAGTCCTACAGGTAAGCCCCGCCCCCTCTGGCAGCAGTCTGGGCTCGGTGCTCGTCCAGTAGGCCTCCGATTTGAAAACAGGAAGTGAGCCGTTCCTGACTTCCTGTTGGTGGTGTCAGGAAGCTGGCGCTGCGGTTCCACCCGGATAAGAACCCGGACAACCCGGAGGCGGCGGAGAAGTTCAAGGAGCTGAACAACGCGCACTCGGTGCTGGCCGACCTGAGCAAGAGGAACATCTACGACTCGTACGGCTCGCTGGGGCTCTACGTGGCGCAGCAGTTTGGAGAGGACAACGTCAACACCTACTTCATGCTGTCCACCTGGTGGGCCAAGGTGGGGGCGGAGCTTCGAGGGGCGGCCACACCCCCGCGGTGAGGCTGGTGTGACATGTGTTTGTGCTGCAGGGTCTGTTCCTGCTCTGCGGCGTCCTGACCGGATGTTACTGCGGCTGCTGCCTCTGCTGCTGCTGCAACTGCTGCTGTGGGAAACTCAAGCCCACCGCGGCGGGCGAGGGGGCGGAGCCAGAGTACGTCTCGCCTGACGACCTGGAGGAGGAGATTCGCAACAGTCCCGACAACGGTAAGACGTCAGGACGCGTCTTCTGCGGTTCAGTGATGACGTCAGCCTGGCTGCTGAGGGAACCGATTCTCATTGCTGTTGTGTTTGTCATCATGTTTTCATGAGTCTGGAATAACTGGATGGAAAACGAAACGTTGCTGCTTTTCTTTCTGTCTCCAACAGTAAAATAATGTTGATCGGTTTTATGTCCGTCTGTGCTCCTGCATGTTGCCCTGGTAATGCTGCACAGTAAGGACGGCTGCTTCATAGCACCAGTTTACAGCATTCAACATCCAACTGAGCCTGGAAGTAAATACATGGCAACAGGATCGTAGAACGTCCTAGTTCAAGTTCAGGAATGGAGGCAATGAGACTGGGCCGCCGGATGAGACGGGAGGCTGAGGGACGGACGGCAGCTGCTCCGGTCCTCTGGGCTTCATCTTCATGTCTTCTGCTCTGGTTGCTTCCAGGTGCAGAGACGCCGACCGTCCAGCAACCCAGCGGCGCCAGCGAGAAGACGCAGCTGATCGGCGACGGCCACCGCAGATACGGAGACACCTACACCTGAGAGGGCAAGCTGACCCCAAACCCGGCTGACCCCTGACCCCGCTCACCTCAAACCCCGCTGACCCCTGACCCCATGGCCCGTCGACTGGAACACTCAAATATTCTTCACCAAAGACACCAAAACGTCTCTGGCGTTCCAAACACAAGACATAAAACCTGATGAAGATTAAAACATTTGAGACGATCGAATCACTGGAACATCAGAGACATTTTTAGCTCCAGTTGGGATCTTTGATCAAATCACTTCAGTCTCCATCTTGTTTCTTTTGCTATGATCATCTGAGAACAGATCCATCAACTCCATCAGCTGCTACTGCTGTCTTAGCATATGCACCAAAAACAACCAATCAGAGCCTGGAGGCGGGGCCTAGTGCTATAAATCACCTCATGTACCTGCTGCTAAATGTGCTAATGGTGGAGAAACAACTCATTGCTACAGCTAAACTATTTATCTGCTGTCCTTCAGTTGCTATGCAAACTAGCCTAGCATTCATGACAAGCTGTGTTAGCAGTAGCATAACAGAGAACAAGGAGCAGAAGCAGGCACAATTAAGAGTGATTGATAGCGTCAAGTCCCGCCTCCAGGCTCTGATTGGTTGTTTGCAGTTAGCACTCAAACTGTCACCACATAGACAGTTTCAACAAATGTGTAAAAAAAATATTTGATTCATAAAAGTTACAAACTGCAGCTTTAAGAGATTTGAGACAATACAAAGACTGAACAGCTGTAACCTCCACCCCGCCGACCCGACCTTTTAACCCCTAAAGCAGCTGCATCTGGGTCTGAACAGAACCCGCCTCCGTTGGTGACTTCCTGAATCTAGTCAAACTCCTGCTCTGATTGGCTGTTTGATGACGAGTCAACCAGGAGGAGGAGCTTAAATTCTTTGTTGTTGTTGATGTGGAAACAGCGGTGGTCACATGAACTCGCTGGAAGCTCCCCTTTCGTTTGTATGCTAATAAAGGACTAAAGTGTGACTTGGTGTCTGCCTGGTCTGTGGCTCACAGTTTGACCTTTGCCCTCTTCTATGTCATTATCATCTCACAGAATTAGTTTAGTTTAATTTTGTGGAAGTTCCCGTTCATTCTCCGCTGCTGCAGTTTTACTTTCCAGACAGATTTGCACTGAAAGAGAGACGATCTTTTCTGGTGCTTCATATAAATGAATAAGTTTCTACTCTGCTCATAAAGTGCAACATGGCCGCCCTCGTCAGCGACTCCTGTCTGCTGCGCTTTGTTTCATCTGATCCCACAGAGTTTTTATTCTTCTTCACTGATCAGAGTATGAAACTCAACCGTAACGCCATTGAGTCGGCCTTCTTCTTCTGTGGTTTTAATGACCCTGACTGCTTTATGCTATGCTGCTGACACCAACTTCGTGATTGTGCTGCTGCAGCGCCGCCAGCTGGTCACATCATTTACATTTCAAAAGTATTCACACCCCTTCAACTTTTCCATATTTGGTCATATTGCAACTACAAATATTAACACATTTCATTGGAATTTAACAGTATGAACATTTTAGAAATCAAAGCATTTTATGCAAATATTCGGTTGCCAGCTTGGGGGGCAGATAACTTGGTGGGCTCAGAAAAGGGGGCTGAATACTTTTGCACCCACACTTTTCAGTTTTTTATTTGTAAAAATATTTTGAATTATGAATCATTTTCCTTCTACTTTCCAGTCGGTGGTCCAGTCAGTCGGTGGTCCAGTCAGTCGGTGGTCCAGTCAGTCGGTGGTCCAGTCAGTGGACCACAACTGTCAGTCACCTCACATTAAATAAAATGGTTCTGGTTCCTCCTGCTTCAGTCTGACCACCAGGGGCGCTGCAGCTGGATAAACTCCTGCGTACTGTTCCTGTTCCTTTAACCTCCTCATCTATCCCCTATTGACCTTTGACATATAAGGCTATGTCGGCACGGCAACGGCTGACGTCCCTGAGTCTAAAAACAGCCTGAGACTCAGAGAGCACTGAGCTCTTCGAGTCTGCCGACGGTTTCACCATCTGCATGACCGTCCTCTCTCTGGGACTCGTCCTCTCTCTGTGACCCGTCTCTGTGACTCGTCCTCTCTCTGTGACTCGTCCCTGTGACTCGTCCTCTCTCTGGGACTCGTCCTCTCTCTGTGACTCGTCCCCATCATGGACGGCCTGGAGAAGCAGCTGGTGTGTCCCATCTGTCTGGAGATGTTCTCCAAGCCGGTGGTCATCCTGCCTTGTCAACACAACCTGTGCAGGAAATGCGCCAACGACGTGTTTCAGGTAGGACTTCCGTCACTCCTTCGTGTCCTCCTCTGGACTCTGAATGCCTTTTCATGTCCAGAACCAAAACCCATTGGGTTTCTAGCTGCATGCTAGAAGCCTTAGCCACACAGAACAAAGACTGGTACCAGTTTGGTACCTACTGGAAGCAGCCAAAGTCCAGAGAGGACAACACTGGACATCATTTTGGCGTCTCATTGGTCTGCTGTCCTCTCCAGGCATCCAATCCCTACCTGTCCAGCAGGACCGGCGCCACGATGACGTCAGGCGGACGGTTCCGCTGCCCCTCCTGTAGACACGAGGTGGTTCTGGACCGGCACGGCGTCTACGGGCTGCAGAGGAACCTGCTGGTGGAGAACATCATCGACATGTACAAGCAGGGCAGCACCAGGTAGCGAGGGGGACAGACCCAGCCTGGTTCCCATGGTTAGCACTGAGGTTGGCCTCGTCAAAGAGTTCAATGACATCCAGATAAATACAGACTGTACAGTGCTGGTTCTGGTTCTGTTGGACCTCATCATTGGCCATGACATATTACTGAAACCGCTGGAGAGCTGGGAGGACCGTCTGGTTCCGGTTCTAGACTGGAACCAACCCACATTCCTGGTTCTGATGCATTTGTCTCTCTGGTTCTGTTTGTGTTCATCAGTAAGCCAGAACCTGAGAAGAAGCAGGAGCCGATGTGTGAAGAGCATCCGGACGAGAAGATCAACATTTACTGCATCACCTGCAGCGCCCCCACCTGTTCACTCTGCAAAGTGTTCGGACAACACAGAGACTGCGAGGTGGCGCCGCTGAGCCAAGTATTCGCAAGCCAGAAGGTACCGCATGGTGAGGTGTGGTGTTAAGGTGTGTTAAGGTGTTAAGGTGTGTTGAGGTGTGTTGAGGTGTGTGAGGTGTGTTAAGGTGTGTTGAGGTGTGTTGAGGTGTGTTGAGGTGTGTTAAGGTGTGTTGAGGTGTGTTGAGGTGTGTTGAGGTGTGTTAAGGTGTGTTGAGGTGTGTTGAGGTGTATTGAGGTGTGTTAAGGTGTGTTGAGGTGTGTTGAGGTGTGTTGAGGTGTGTTAAGTGTTGAGGTGTGTTGAGGTGTGTTGAGGTGTGTTGAGGTGTGTTGAGGTGTTTAAGGTGTGTTGAGGTGTGTTGAGGTGTGTTGAGGTGTGTTGAGGTGTGTTGAGGTGTTTAAGGTGTGTTGAGGTGTGTTGACGTGTGTTGACGTGTGTTGAGGTGTGTTGAGGTGTGTTGAGGTGTGTTGAGGTGTGTTAAGGTGTGTTGAGGTGTGTTGAGGTGTGTTGAGGTGTGTTAAGGTGTGTTGAGGTGTGTTGAGGTGTGTTAAGGTGTGTTAAGGTGTGTTGAGGTGTGTTGAGGTGTGTTGAGGTGTGTTGAGGTGTGTTGAGGTGTGTTGAGGTGTGTTAAGGTGTGTTGAGGTGTGTTGAGGTGTGTTGAGGTGTGTTGAGGTGTGTTGAGGTGTGTTGAGGTGTGTTAAGGTGTGTTGAGGTGTGTTGAGGTGTGTTGAGGTGTGTTGAGGTGTGTTGAGGTGTGTTGAGGTGTGTTGAGGTGTGTTGAGGTGTGTTGAGGTGTGTTAAGGTGTGTTGAGGTGTGTTGAGGTGTGTTAAGGTGTGTTGAGGTGTATTCAGGTGTGTTCAGGTGTGTTCAGGTGTGTGTTGTCACCTTTCTGCAGGCTGAACTCACGGATTGCATCTCCTTGTTGGTCGGGAACAACGAGCGGATCCAAGCCATCGTCAGCCAGCTGGATGAGACCTGCAGAGCTGTGGACGTGAGTGGATGTCCTCCAGGTGTGGCAGTCCTCGGCCGGCGCCGTCTCACCTGGAGGATGTGTCTCTGCAGGAGAACGGCCGGCGGCAGAAGTCCAGGGTCTGCGAGACATTCGACCGCCTGTTTTGCTGCTGGAGGAGAAGAAAGGCGAGATGACGGTCAGCATCAACTGCGAGCAGGAGGAGAAACTGGACTACATCCGCAGTCTGAACAGGAAGTACAGCGAGCACCTGGAAGAGACTGCCAAGCTGCTGGAGACTGCTATCCAGACCATGGACGAGCCTGAGATGGCGGTTTTCCTCCAGGTGACCCTGAATGCAGCATTGATAGGAGAATGAAAGCAGAGTCAGCTCTGATATTCTGACATTTCTGTCTGGTCTTCCCACACAGTCGGCCAACCCTCTGCTGCAGAAGTGAGTTTCTGTTTCCTGTTGCTGTCCCGATCTCTCCCACGAGTTTCCTGCTTGTTTCCTGCTGGTTTCCTGCTAGTTTCCTGCTAGTTTCCTGCTGGTTTCCTGCTTGTTTCCTGCTGGTTTCCTGTTAGTTTCCTGCTAGTTTCCTGCTAGTTTCCTGCTAGTTTCCTGCTTGTTTCCTGCTTGTTTCCTGCTTGTTTCCTGTTAGTTTCCTGCTTGTTTCCTGCTAGTTTCCTGCTTGTTTCCTGCTTGTTTCCTGCTAGTTTCCTGCTTGTTTCCTGCTAGTTTCCTGCTTGTTTCCTGCTAGTTTCCTGCTGGTTTCCTGTTAGTTTCCTGCTAGTTTCCTGCTAGTTTCCTGTTAGTTTCCTGCTTGTTTCCTGCTAGTTTCCTGCTGGTTTCCTGTTAGTTTCCTGCTTGTTTCCTGCTGGTTTCCTGTTAGTTTCCTGCTTGTTTCCTGCTAGTTTCCTGCTTGTTTCCTGTTAGTTTTCCTGCTTGTTTCCTGCTGGTTTTCTGTTAGTTTCCTGCTTGTTTCCTGCTAGTTTCCTGCTTGTTTCCTGCTAGTTTCCTGCTTGTTTCCTGTTAGTTTCCTGCTTGTTTCCTGCTTGTTTCCTGCTAGTTTCCTGCTTGTTTCATGCTAGTTTCCTGCTAGTTTCCTGTTAGTTTCCTGCTAGTTTCCTGTTAGTTTCCTGCTTGTTTCCTGTTAGTTTCCTGCTAGTTTCCTGCTTGTTTCCTGCTAGTTTCCTGCTAGTTTCCTGCTTGTTTCCTGCTAGTTTCCTGCTTGTTTCCTGCTCTTTTCCTGTTAGTTTCCTGCTTTGTTTCCTGTTAGTTTCCTGCTTGTTTCCTGTTAGTTTCCTGCTTGTTTCCTGCTAGTTTCCTGCTTGTTTCCTGTTAGTTTATCCGGTGCTTCGTTGTCCCCTCAGGCTGCTGCAGTTCACAGACACGTCCACCTGGACAATGTCCAGCCTGGTTATGAAAATATGGATCACTTCACCGTAAACTTTGACCTCCAGAGGAGGGCGCTGGCGGACGTTGACTTCATCAAACGTAAACATCTGGGTGACTGACCAATCACAGTGCAGCATGCTTCGTGTCTGATGTTCTGTGTCCTTCTAGTTGATGATGATGAGAGCGAAGACGAGGTGGAAGCCAGAGGACAGCTGCATGTCACACCCGCAGCAGCCAATGAGCAGCTGGCTCTTTCCCAACCAAAGAGCCCCGCCCCCTCATCGTCAGTCCCGCAGGCCCCGCCCCCTACGCATCGCCCCACAACTAGCTCCGCCCCTCAGGTATGAACAATGATTTTATTGAGGTTTTCAAGTGAAACTGGTCACCTGTTCGTCTCCATGCTAACCAGTTTAACCCCTTCCTCTTTAGTCCGATCACCAGAACGAGTCGGAGGACAAAGACGGACCCAAACACGTCTTCTCCTTCAGCTGGCTCAACCAGAAGTAAGAGATCTGGCCCTGGAGGACCTGGAGGACCTGGAGATCCTGGAGGACCTGGTGATCCTGGAGGACCTGGAGATCTTGGAGGACCAGTGGCTTCATGTATAAATTGTGTGTGTGCACAAAAAATGTGCGGTACCATATTTTACACACAAATCGGTATTTATAAATATGAACTTTGTCTCAAAGTTTGTGTAAATTTACACAAACCTTTTCTGTGTGAAAATGTGAAGCAGCCAAGAAATCTTTACCTGTGGACAAGATCAAAGTCCAAAAGATCAAAACTCACCTGAATCCACTGAAATCTGACAACATTTGGTTATTTGAGCAAGAAGCAACAAACTGCATGATTTTAATATTGTTTAAAGGAAACAATGAAACTGAACCGCATTCATCCTCAGAGAAAAAGCCAACACACTCACACACACACACCCACACACACCACACACCCACACACACTCACACACACACACACACCCACACCCACACACACACACACACACACACACAGACAAAATAAAGAAAATAAAAATAAAAAACCTCACTCCAATGTAAATAGAACTTTTTCTCAGTTTTTGCCTCAGAAAGACGAAACGCTTTGAAATGCATCTATTGATCATTTCAAACCTGCTGATGAAGATAATCAGCAGGTTTGATTCTTGAAGGTGATCAATAATCTCAGGTATTGCCTCTATGACCTGCTTCATGAGGATCTCTGATCAATGGAGCCATTGATCAGAGATGGTATGATCTGCTGGTTTATTGGTGTTTAGATGAATCCAGACTGATCATCCTGGGGCTCTGAGCAGAACTTAAAGCAGGTATCAGTACCGGTACCGGTACCGGTCCCAGCTGCAGTCGTCCTTCAGTCCAGTCGCCTTATGGACATGAATCTTTCTCCTGTTGAGAATAATGGTCCACATTCCCACTCAGTGACTCTCTGACCTTCTTCACCTCCCGGCTGAACCTCTGCTGCTCTAAACAGGATCTTTCTTGATTATTTTTCATTTGGATCGTTTGTCTTTAAAAGGTATTTTTGTGAGAGAAAAAGTTATTCTATGCATCAGTCAGCCAGGTTAATATCTTTATTTTAGGCGTCAGGTTTGGGATGAAGGTAAACAGCAGCCATAAATGTTCACCTTAATGATAAAAACATGAAGCTTCAGCTTCACCGTAATGTCTCCAATCAAAAAGAGAAGCTTGTGGGTCCAGAATCCCTGAAGAACTTGATTTTTCATGTTACTTTTGAAGTTTCTATCCTGATTTAAAAAGCGTCCAGCTGCAAATGAAAGACTGAAATAAGGCATTATGAACTCAATAGAAAATGAAATGCAGTCTTCATTTGTGCTGCAAAAGTTTTAAAGTCTGCGACTTTGTTCACACACAGAGGTCCATAATGTTTCCTCAAAGCATTTTAAAATTACATATATAATTACAACTATTATAAATACTAATACTCCTTGGAACAAGCATGTTGCCATGGTTTCTGCTTCACCTGGCGGGAGACTTGCAGGTATTTCTACTAATTTACCTTAAAATGTATTTCTGGAGGCGACAGGCGGAGAAGCAGCTGCTGCCTCCCACAAATTAGGATTTATAGAGGAAAGGTGACCAGCCATCTGCGCGTGCACCGCTTTATGCATTTAGTGCAGCAAGTTTTAGTGTGAAAGCTGCAGGAGTTCCCTGGTCTCTGGTTCCTGGTCTCTGGTTTCCTGGTCTCTAGTCCCTGGTCTTTGGTTCCTGGTCTCTAGTCCCTGGTCTCTGGTTCCTGGTCTCTGGTCCCTGTCTCTAGTCCCTGGTCTCTGGTTCCTGGTCTCTAGTCCCTGGTCTCTGGTTCCTGGTCTCTAGTCCTGGTCTCTGGTTCCTGGTCTCTAGTCCCTGGTCTCTGGTTCCTGGTCTCTAGTCCCTGGTCTCTGGTCCTGGTCTCTAGTCCCTGGTCTCTGGTTCCTGGTCTCTAGTCCCTGGTCTCTGGTCCCTGGTCTCTGGTTCCTGGTCTCTGGTTCCTGGTCCCTGGTTCCTGGTCTCTGGTCTCTAGTCCCTGGTCTGTGGTTCCTGGTCTCTGGTCCCTGGTCTCTGGTCCCTGGTCTCTAGTCCCTGGTCTCTGGTCCCTGGTTCCTGGTCTCTGGTTCCTGGTCTCTGGTCTCTAGTCCCTGGTCTCTGGTCCCTGGTTCCTGGTTCCTGGTCCCTGGTCTCTGGTTCCTGGTCTCTGGTCTCTAGTCCCTGGTCTGTGGTTCCTGGTCCCTGGTCTGTGGTTCCTGGTCTCTGGTCTGTGGTTCCTGGTTCCTGCTCTGTGGTTCCTGGTCTGTGGTTCCTGGTCTCTGGTCTCTAGTCCGTGGTCTGTTGTTCCTGGTCCCTGGTCTCTGGTTCCTGGTCTGTGGTTCCTGGTCCCTGGTTCCTGGTCTCTGGTCTGTGGTTCCTGGTCTGTGGTCCCTGGTTTCTGGTCCCTGGTTCCTGGTCCCTGGTTTCTGGTCCCTGGTCTCTGGTTACTGGTTCCTGGTCTCTAGTCCCTGGTCTCTGGTTCCTGGTCTCTAGTCCCTGGTCTGTGGTTCCTGGTCTCTGGTTCCTGGTCTCTAGTCTCTGGTCCCTGGTCTCTGGTTCCTGGTCTCTAGTCCCTGGTCTGTGGTCTCTGGTCTGTGGTTCCTGGTCTCTGGTCCCTGGTCTTCGGTTCCTGGTCTCTAGTCCCTGGTCTCTGGTTCCTGGTCTCTAGTCCCTGGTCTCTGGTTCCTGGGCTCTAGTCCCTGGTCTCTAGTCCCTGGTCTCTGGTTCCCTGTCTCTAGTCCCTGGTCTGTGGTTCCTGGTCTCTAGTCTGGTCTCTAGTCCCTGGTCTGTGGTCTCTGGTCTGTGGTTCCTGGTCTCTGGTCCCTGGTCTTCGGTTCCTGGTCTCTAGTCCCTGGTTCCTGGTCTCTAGTCTCTGGTCTCTGGTCTGTGGTTCCTGGTCTCTGGTCCCTGGTCTCTGGTCTTTGGTTCCTGGTCTCTGGTTCCTGGTCTTTGGTCCCTGGTCTCTAGTCCCTGTTCTGTGGTTCCTGGTCTCTGGTCTGTGGTCCCTGGTCTCTGGTCTCTGGTTTCTGGTCTGTGGTTCCTGGTCTCTAGTCCCTGGTCTTCCTGGTCTGTGGTTCCTGGTCTCTGGTCTCTAGTCCTGGTCTGTGGTTCCTCGTCCCCGGTCTGTGGTGCCTGGTCTCTAGTCCTGGTCTCTTGTCTCTAGTCCGTGGTCTGTGGTTCCTCGTCCCCGGTCTGTGGTGCCTGGTCTCTAGTCCTGGTCTCTTGTCTCTAGTCCGTGGTCTGTGGTTCCTGGTCCCTGGTCTCTGGTCTGGTTCCTGGTCTCTGGTCTGTGGTCCCTGGTTTCTGTATCTGGTTCCTGGTCTGTGGTCTCTTGTCCCTAGTCCCTGGTCTGTGGTTCCTGGTCCCTGGTCTGTGGTTCCTGGTCTCTGGTCTGTGGTTCCTGGTCTCTGGTCTGTGGTTCCTGGTCCCTGGTTTCTGGTTCCTGGTCTGTGGTCTCTTGTCCCTAGTCCCTGGTCTGTGGTTCCTGGTCCCTGGTCTGTGGTTCCTGGTCTCTGGTCTGTGGTTCCTGGTCTGTGGTTCCTGGTCTCTGGTCTGTGGTTCCTGGTCCCTGGTTTCTGGTTCCTGGTCTCTGGTCTCTAGTCCCTGGTCTGTGGTTCCTGGTTTCTGGTCCCTGGTTTCTGGTTCCTGGTCTCTGGTCTGTGGTTCCTGGTCCCTGGTCTGTGGTTCCTGGTCCCTGGTTTCTGGTTCCTGGTCTGTGGTTCCTGGTCCCTGGTCTCTGGTCTGTGGTTCCTGGTCCTGGTCTGTGGTTCCTGGTTCCTGGTCCCTGGTCTCTGGTCCTGGTCTGTGGTTCCTGGTCCTGGTCTCTAGTCCCTGGTCTCTTGTCTCTAGTCCGTGGTCTGTGGTTCCTGGTCCCTGGTCTGTGGTTCCTGGTCTCTGGTCTGTGGTTCCTGGTTCCTGCTCTGTGGTTCCTGGTCTGTGGTTCCTGGTCTCTAGTCCGTGGTCTGTTGTTCCTGGTCCCTGGTCTCTGGTTCCTGGTCTGTGGTTCCTGGTCTCTGGTCTGTGGTTCCTGGTCCCTGGTTTCTGGTATCTGGTTCCTGGTCTGTGGTCTCTTGTCCCTAGTCCCTGGTCAGTGGTTCCTGGTCTCTGGTCTGTGGTTCCTGGTCTCTGGTCTGTGGTTCCTGGTCCCTGGTTCCTGGTCTCTGGTCTCTAGTCCCTAGTCCCTGGTCTGTGGTTCCTGGTTTCTGGTCCCTGGTCTCTGGTCTGTGGTCCCTGGTCTCTGGTCCCTGGTCTCTGGTTCCTGGTCTCTGGTTCCTGGTCTCTAGTCCCTGGTCTCTGGTCCCTGGTCTTTGGTTCCTGGTCTCTGGTTCCTGGTCTTTGGTCCCTGGTCTCTGGTTCCTGGTCTCTAGTCCCTGGTCTCTGGTCCCTGGTCTTTGGTTCCTGGTCTCTGGTTCCTGGTCTCTGGTCCCTGGTCTCTGGTTCCTGGTCTCTAGTCCCTGGTCTCTGGTCCCTGGTCTTTGGTTCCTGGTCTCTGGTTCCTGGTCTTTGGTCCCTGGTCTCTGGTCCCTGGTCTTGGTTCCTGGTCTCTGGTTCCTGGTCTCTAGTCCCTGGTCTCTGGTTCCTGGTCTCTGGTCCCTGGTCTCTGGTTCCTGGTCTCTGTTCCTGGTCTCTAGTCCCTGGTCTCTGGTTCCTGGTCTGTGGTTCCTGGTCTCTGGTCTCTAGTCCCTGGTCTGTGGTTCCTGGTCCCTGGTCTGTGGTTCCTGGTCTCTGGTCTGTGGTTCCTGGTTCCTGCTCTGTGGTTCCTGGTCTGTGGTTCCTGGTCTCTGGTCTCTAGTCCGTGGTCTGTTGTTCCTGGTCCCTGGTCTCTGGTCTCTGGTCTCTGGTCTGTGGTTCCTGGTCCCTGGTTCCTGGTCTCTGGTCTGTGGTTCCTGGTCTGTGGTCCCTGGTTTCTGGTCCCTGGTTCCTGGTCCCTGGTTCTGGTCCCTGTATCTGGTTACTGGTTCCTGGTCTCTAGTCCCTGGTCTCTGGTTCCTGGTCTCTAGTCCATGGTCTGTGGTTCCTGGTCTCTGGTTCCTGGTCTCTAGTCTCTGGTCCTGGTCTCTGGTTCCTGGTCTCTAGTCCCTGGTCTGTGGTCTCTGGTCTGTGGTTCCTGGTCTCTGGTCCCTGGTCTTCGGTTCCTGGTCTCTAGTCCCTGGTCTCTGGTTCCTGGTCTCTAGTCCCTGGTCTCTGGTTCCTGGGCTCTAGTCCCTGGTCTCTAGTCCCTGGTCTCTGGTTCCCTGTCTCTAGTCCCTGGTCTGTGGTTCCTGGTCTCTAGTCTCTGGTCCTAGTCCCTGGTCTGTGGTCTCTGGTCTGTGGTTCCTGGTCTCTGGTCCCTGGTCTTCGGTTCCTGGTCTCTAGTCCCTGGTTCCTGGTCTCTAGTCTCTGGTCTCTGGTCTGTGGTTCCTGGTCTCTGGTCCCTGGTCTCTGGTCTTTGGTTCCTGGTCTCTGGTTCCTGGTCTTTGGTCCCTGGTCTCTAGTCCCTGTTCTGTGGTTCCTGGTCTCTGGTCTGTGGTCCCTGGTCTCTGGTCTCTGGTCTCTGGTTCCTGGTCTCTAGTCCCTGGTCTCTGGTTCCTGGTCTGTGGTTCCTGGTCTCTGGTCTCTAGTCCCTGGTCTGTGGTTCCTCGTCCCCGGTCTGTGGTG